TGGGAACTGATAACATCAGTGTTCCATTAGGTGTCAGTTTTATCTTGTCAATTCTAAATTATTAGCCTATAAATTTTGTGTATATATATAAGGTATTTATTATATGATGGATGTATGTGTATTCGAGAATTTATTTATTATCAGATAAAATATAATAATTATTAGTATTTAATTTTCAATATTAATTTCAATCACAAAAATTGTTTATTTCCTCACTAGAATATAAATGATATGTAAATTTTTTTTAAGTAATAAATAAATTATAAATAAGAAATGAAAAAAAGACTTCGTACCAATTATATTGTATGCAGATATTAACTATTTTATAAAAAACTCATCATCTGAATCATCACCAAATTTCCTTCTATTATACTTTTTCAACCATAGTAATAATAAATGTTAGAGAAAATCTCTTATTTCTAACAAATAATCTTTTTTATAATTAATTATTAACAAATACCACAATTTTAGTCTCTGGCTTTTGTTGTTGTTTAATCTGTTCAAGTAAACCAATTAATTGCGATTCGCTAACTTTTCCACGTATTTGACCTGTTTGTACCATTCGAATTAATAAATCTTCAACTGCTCGTGCTTTATCTGCTTTAACTATTGAGATCCTTGCAACTATAATTATTATATAATTAATATATGTATACACATATGTATATAATCTAAACTTTTACTATCATTGAAACTCACGTCGTTCTCGAGCTTCATTATCAAGTATTTGGGACAACTAAATTGAATTAAAAATAGTTTTTTTAGTTGATAATTTTTAATTTATATATTCAATAACACGGATATATATTCATTTATTAATATAAATCAACTGTACCATTGCTTGTCTTGTTTCTTCAACTTGGCTGTAAAATGTTTATTTGGCCAGTTGAAAATACTTAATAATTTGTCTTTTTATGTATTTATATATTCTAAAATTTTTTTCTCCATTACCGTTTTTGTTCTGCATCTTCTTCTCCTGACTTTGGATTGCTACCCTGTTTGGATTATCGGGAGTTTTTTGAGAGATTTATATTTGAGTAAACAAATTTACACTTTTAAAAACTTAAATCATTGTTTATATATGTACTTACAGATGAATTTTGTGCTTGTAATTCACGTAATCTAGCTTGTCTAATTGCTTGAAGTTCTGAATCGTCCATTTTTTTCTTTGTAAAAGTAGTTTATTTTTATAATTTTCAGATTGGTAATGTGCATGATACACTAATGTGGCAAATTTTCCTATAAAAGGTAAATTTTCAATAATTTTTTTAAAAAATAAATCAACATTCATTTGTTTGGAAATAATATTAATATATACAGTTTTATCTTGAAAAAAAAATTTATTTTTTTGTTTAACAAATAAAATGAAAGAAAGCTCACAATACGACTATAAAATCTCTACCAGGCCTCAAGAATTCGGCCCAAAAGGCGAAACTCTATCAAATCCTGTAGGGAACTTGCTTAAGGGGGGAGAGGAAGAGGAGGAAGAAAATAAACAAGAATCACCATTTGAAAAAGAACTTAAAGCATATCATAATCTTAAAAAACTTGAAGACAAACCCATTAAATCAATAAATGACGACAGTACTCATAATTATAGTTCTTCTTACGACGAACAAAGACAATTAAAAGACAAATTGAATAATAATAATGGTGATCAAGATTCTTCCTTATCAAACTACCGCAACATCAATTATAGTGATAATAGTTGTAATAGTAATAATAATAATGGATCAAGAGCTAAAATATATTCACCACTTAAAGGTTATATAGCAACTTCAGAGGAACAATACTTTTATCATCCTGAAAGACAATTATGGTTTGACACATACTCTGGAATCTATTCATATTATGACAAATCCACTCAAACTTACACTCCAATAAATGACACCACAGCGGCCACCCACAATATACAATTTATCAACAACAACAACGTTAACACCACCGCTGCTGTTTTTGAAGATTTAGCAATAGAACAAGGTGAACCTGGTAGTGATGCAACTCTTAGATTGGTGGTGATCGAATCAGGGATTTTAAAATCTGGTGATTTGGTTCTTGTTGATGCTAATGGAATTTCTATAGGCAGAGATAAATGTTATGATAGACGTCTTCGTTTAGCTGAGATGCCAACTTCAAAACATCATTGTCAAATATTTTTTTCTTCAAAGTCAATAATTGACTCCAACTCTGATCCTAATAATAATGATAATGATGATAATTACGAAATCGGTGATAATGATGATGATAAATTATCACCATCATCATCTCCTTCTTCTGTCAACTCACTTGAAGCTTTTTTTATAGTTGATAGTGGATCTCAGAATGGAACTTTTGTTAATTCTAAACGTCTTTCTGAAAGTAGAATGAGTTCTAAACCATGTCAGTTGAGTCATATGGATGAATTGGAGATTGGTAGTACTAAATTTCAAGTTCACCTACACAAAAATTGGACATGTGAGGCTTGTACTGCATCAGAAGGAAATATTGTTGACATTTTACATAGATCCGAAATTGATAATAATAGTAATAGTAATAGCAATAGCAATAACAATAACAATAACAATAACAATAACAATAATAGCAGTATTAGTAGTAGCAGTACAGGACAAAATGACAGCTTTAATGTAACACAAAAAGAACTTTTGGAAATTCAACGTAGATTGGAATTAAATAGATTAAAACGAAAATATATAGGATCAAATAATAATCAAAAAAGTGCAAAATATGTAGACCGTGCAGCATTAAGGAGAGAAACTCGCCCAGATAATACACCTTTTAGAAAAAATGATGATCAAGATACTAATGCTGATGTTAATAATAACTATAATTATAACAATAATAATGGTGGTGATAAGGAAATAATATGTGCAGAAACAAAAATTGGACCAGAAAATAAGGGAAGTAAACTATTACAGAAAATGGGTTGGCAAGAGGGACAATCATTGGGTTGTAATGGAAATGGAATTATTGAACCTTTGAATTTAGTGATTAATAAGGGTCGGACTGGACTTGGTGCTGACGTTCCAAAAAAAGCAAATGATGTTACGGAAACACTACAAGAAGCAACTCGACGGTATAGTAGTAATAATATATATAAAAATAACACAATATTAATATTAATTCTTTTTTTATATGTTAAATAAAAATTTTTTGTTTTGTTTTTACAGAATTGCAAAAGAAAGATTTATCAACTTGTCATAATATAAATTTTCTTTATAACAACTGATATTATTGCCAATTGTTGATTACCGCCATAATCATCATCACCGTCACATTCATCATCATCATCAACAATGTCAGCAATTTTTGTTTTAATTACATGTTGAGAAAAAAATCATATATATTGATTAATGTCAAATTTGAAAAAAAAAACAATAAGGTATATCATATTAAATTATTAAAATAATGCTTATAAAATGTAAAAATTTTTCAATTAATTAATAGTGATAAATTTTTTAATTTGTGGGTATTCTTTTCTTCTCACTCTATTCTATATATTATTAATTATTATTATTATTTCAGTCAGTGTATAAAATAATAATAATTTTTGTGCTTGTGCGTGTGATTCTTTCTCCACTGGATAATAATAATTCACATTGGCAATCAATCCAAACAATGCAGATTTTAACTTTATTATTATTGTCAAGTTGGATTATTAGTTGTTTGATCTCTCTTATTTTCTCCATATGGCATAATAGTGCGTCTTCCTTTCTGCCTTGTTGATGAGAGAATATCAAGATTTTTGAAACAAGTTTTTGCCATCACAAATTTTTTTTTTCTTTACAAAATGTTTAATTATTATTATTAGTATTCTTTTTGCATGAAGGTATATGGGGGATAAGAGTCTTAAAAAAAAATCTTCTAGTAAATTACATGAGTCGAAGAGAATGAAAATTTATAGTTTTTATTATTATTATTATTATTATTATTATTATTATTATTTAATCTGTGCATGTGTGGTGTTATATTAGAGATAAAATCCATGGCACTAATATATCAATAAAAAAATCAACTATTGGGTCTGTTATCCTTCTTAAAATTAATAATGGTATTTGTATCAATTTTACTGGATTTATCTTATATAAAATAAAAGAAAAATAAAATAAATAAATTTTGATATTTTGAAAAAAAAGTTAAAAAATCAAAAATCATTCTTTACCAGTAGAAAAGTTTTTCCAATGGTGTAAGGAATCCAAACAGAACAAGCTAAACAGATTGAAATCAAGAGTGCCATTAATGCAGAATTTTGCACAAGTACCCAGGGAGAACCTCGCATCCCAATAGCCTCTAGTACTCCTTCAAGCTCTTCATTCGCAATATTGTCATCATCATCTCCTTGGTCAACAACATCTGGAACATTGTTGTTGTTGTTGTTGTTGTTGTTAATTTCTTCTTCCATAAATAATAATCAAAACTTTTATATACAATTCTAAACCTGACAAAGAGAAAAAAGTTTAAACATTTTTCAAATCAAAAAAATCAAAAATTATTATTTATGCAATTAGCACCCCTGATAAAAAAGATTTACTGAATTACTGACATATTAATATTAATATTATTTGTACTTGCCTTATTCGTTTTATTCGAATTTATTCATTTTTTTATTCGTTTTATTCTCGTTTTATTCGTTTTATTCGTTTTATTCGTTTTATTCGTTTTATTCGAATTTATTTGAATTATTCGTTTTATTCGAATTTATTTGAATTATTTTTTACTCGAATTATTTTTTACTCAAATTATTTGCTTTATTAACTTTATTTTTTGCTCAAAATTATTTCTTACTCAAATTATTTGTTTTATTCGTTTTACTCGAATTATTTTTCCCTAACTACTACTAAAGATTATGATATTATTTTAGTACAAAGAGCTTTAGAAATAAATATTTAACCAACAACTTAATTACAATATAAAAGAGCTATTGGTTTATTAAATTAAGCCAATAATTAACTAAAAAATAGGATTAATTTTAAAAAGAATATCTGATAAATGTTGGTGCTTACAATATTTATTAGTTATAAAAGGGATATTAGTTTACTTGGTAAAAAATTTTTTTATGTTTTTTGAGATTTTTATATGTTTTCACGACCAATTAACTTTTTACTTGATCAATTAGATTCTTTGATGTCGGTTTTTGGATCCATTAAAAAACAGGATTATTTTTTTATTATTATCAAAGAAACTTTAAAAATGTAAAAAATCAATCAAGTATTTTTTTGAAAATGTAAAAGATTCTTTGTGATATCGGATTTTTGGCTCCATTAAAAAACAGGATGGTTCATAAGTCTTTTTTAAAATCATAAAAAAGCCTTTTTTTGGCAATGTAAATAATTTTAATACTAATCAAAGTTGTTATAATGAATGCCACGTTTAAATAGGATTAGAAACTTTAATACATAATAACAATAATAATAACATTGTTATTTTGATACCAATCAAAACCACAAATGAATATTCTATAGTAATGGTCCTTTTTAAGGAGACTGGTTGTATTGGCACAGCAAACCGTCTTTTCATGTGTCCTGCTATTATTCCAAAAATATTATGGTGGGGGCTGTGATAATAACGAGATCGACGCCGATCGTGGAATAATTGGTTTCCTAATTGACGCCGTAGAAATCAAATTTTTGATATTTTCACGGATTGAAAATATCATTAATATTAAAAAAAAACTTGTGACGTCAATTATGGATAAAATAAATAAGTCAAATTACTTATACTAAGCTGAAAACGATTTTTTCACAGCATGCTTATTAATTTAAAATTACAAATGCCCAATTACGGCGCTAAAATAATGTAATAATGAAATTTATATAAAATGAGTGTAAGAACCGATTTAAATATTTCTTTATAAAAATCTCGTCAAAGAAACAATTTTTATTTAAAATTAGAATAAATAAATTTTTAACGCATTAATGAATTAAAAAAAAATGAATAACCCATTGTTAAATGAATACATTAGTAATATTACAAGCTTATTGGAATCAGAAGAGATTTATGATGTAAAGATTAATGTTGGAATAAAACCAGATACTAAAGAATTTCATGCTCATTCATCTATATTATATGCGCGTTGTCCATTTCTCAAAACTGTCTTGTCCGAAGCAAAAAAAGAAGATGGGTTTTATGTTTTCAATATAGAAAATATTAATGAACTTAATTT